GTCTTGGGTGAATGAAGTAATATATATATATATATATATTTAATGACTGATGTTGAATTAATATTTGCACAGGTTCACCTCATTTAGAAAAAACATGCCTTCTTTAAAGGAAAGAATGCATTCTAGTAAACTTTCTGAACTTCTGTGGGTCATTTAAAGTAGACCTCACAGAGCACTAGTCTGCTTTGCATAATCATAAATGCATCTCCTTTTCCACACAAAAAGCTAGATTCAGCTTTGAGGTTCAGTCCCTGACAAGGGTTGGTGCATAGCTGTGCTGCCCAAGGAGGAACTCGGGGAAGGAGTTGCAACTATGAGATATAATTCATTTCTTGCTCCTTATGCCGAGAGTAAAGCAATTTACTGCAGCCCTTTACTGGATGCAACTTATTTCCTCACTTCCAGATCCACTAATTGATGAGTCAGATGTGGGTGGAACCAGAGCCCTGCCCATTTCCCTCCCCTTTAGAACTTCCATGTGGCTGGCAGACCAGGTGCCAGCTCATGCCACTTATAATAGCTCTATCCCATGTTATAAGGTAATATTTGAGTGTTTGCTCTGAAGCTGTAAACCCCAACAGTCAGGAGAGAAGCATTACCAAGTATGAAATACTGGTTCACTATAGGAGGTGTTATCTCCTGCCCAACAAAAGAAGGTCCATAGACACCAGACAAACCATTGTGGAACATCAGAGGACAAAACACTTGGTTAATTGCTCCCTCCCGTGTCCCCTCCCCCTCTATGAAGCAGAGACAGCTTGAACTCTGGGGGAAGTGAACAAACATCCCCGATAAGAAGAAACTGGTGCTATCACTATGCTGCTTTGACCTTGAGAGGGCCAGATTTCTAAGCATAAGCAAGGAATCCTGAGACATTTAGCCCAAAAGACATATAGAGGATGCTTATTATAGAAATGTTGTATCATCTTTTGGAACCTAAGCCTGTAAGTCATTTGTGTGTATGGTTGTTTGCTTTAACCTTGTGAATAACTCTCTCATTTCTTGTTCTTAGCTAATAAATCTTTATTAAATTTATTATAGGATTGGCTACAAGCGTTGTCTTCTGTGTGGGATCTAACATGCAATTGACCTGGGATAAGTGACCAGTCCTTTGGGACCGGGAATAAACTGAACATTGTTGTGATTTTGGGGTAAGGGACCATCTATCACAAAGGCAAGCTTGCCTGGGTGGCAAGATAGACTGGAGTACCCAAGGGGACTGTCTGTGACTCCATGTTTATGCTGTTGTAGTGCCTGAGGTGTTCATATTTGATACTTAGTTGGTGAAATCTGAGTATAGAACTCACAACCAATTTGGGGTTTGTGCCCTGCTTCTTCGCACTCTGCCCTGAGGTTGGTACTCATGCCCTTGAGTATCTCCAGATAGCCTGACAACTCCTTCCAGCCCATCTGCTATTCAGATAACAGATATGCACCTTGGATTCACAATAAAGTGAGCAATAATGCAAATGCACATGGGGATTTGAGGAAAGGGGGGTTACTTGCCATTACTCTCTACCCTGGCTTCACAATGCTGGGTCACAATCCAGCACTGAAAGAGTGAGAGCAGTGCTACGAAGTATATCTTCCATACGATAGTAAGGGTACGTGTAGTGTAGACACGATAAATCGATCCCCAATCACTCTCCTCTCGACTGCTGAACTCACAGCTCGGCGAGAGGCAGAAGCAAATTCGATGGGGGAGCCGCGGCAATCGACCCCGCGCTGTGAGGACGCGAGGTAAGTCGAACTAAGATACGTCAACTTCAGCTACGCTATTCTCGTAGCTGAAGTTCTGTATCTTAGGTCAATTCCCGCACCCCCAGTGTAGACAAGGCCTAAGAGACAGACATATATGGCCAAGGACTTGTTACTGTGTAGTTTTCTTACCTTTAGGGCCAGGAGGCCCAGGGAATCCTATTCCTGGCTGCCCAATAGCACCTTTTTCTCCTGGAAATCCAGGTTTTCCTGGAATCCCAGGATCCCCCCTGTCACCTTTGAAAACAAGACAGACACAGTACATTAAGCACTTATGCAAAAAACAACTTTGGGGGGTGGGAAATCCTTACTAGCAACAGAGAGAAAATTCAAGAGATAATTGTACCTTGGACTCCAGAGAAGCCAGGTGGCCCTGGGAGACCATCTGACCCTGGGGGACCAGGCAGAGGAATGACTTGTCCTGCTTCACCCTTCGGCCCTAGAAAGGTAAAGTTGATGAATCAATACTTGCAAGTAAAAAGGCAAATGTATTAATACACAAGGAGGTGTATATATTCTGAGGTACTAGAGATGCCCATTGGTTTTTGTTTTCATGTTTTTACTACTCATCTCCAGTGCACTGATTGGAAGATGAAAAAGGCCCAAGCATGAAAGAAATACATGAAACCCAAAGAATTCTGGCTGTCGTTTTGACTGCCACAAATCTGTATCTGCCATGTGAACCCACCAAGACCCACCGACACAGGTGCACCAGTGCCAAAGGGCTAGACTGTGACTTAAATGACATGCCAGTGGAAAGGAGTAAAGGGTATGTGTGTGTACAAAATACCCTTACAAAGCTGTGTGGGTTAATCAGATATTGGTTTTGGGCACATAAATGGGTGTGGAGTGTGTGGGAAATGTGCAGATGCTTGGCTGCATGTATCCTTGTTCTCAGGCCAGTGCATCGAGATTCTGACACCCTTACTCACATTGAGTAGTCCTGGTAACTACAGTAGGATTTCTTGTGAGTGAGGGTATCAAGGTATGGACCAGCCCCAAATTACTACCCCTCAGGATCAAGAGGGAGCAGGACAGGAATAGTAACTCCACAGGGTGAGAATCACGACATCTCCTGGGGCTTCTCCTGGAGTGGGGCAGTTTACGCAGTAACCCTTGCACAGGCCTGTGCCCAGTGGAGTGGGAAGAGTTACGTTAACACAAAAGTGACTAATGATCTCCTGGCTTTGTTCTGGGAGACTCTGTAAGGAAACTATCTGTAAGCATTCAGGGCTGCAAAATACACTGTAAGGAACAAATGCTGATGACCTAATAGATCCCATCTATCTCAATTTCCTATGACACATGTACCTGTTAAAGAGAAAACATCATTTCCCCCCTCTCAGTATCTAGTGTGTTACCTGGACGGCCTGGTCCACCTGGGTTTCCTGGAAAGCCTTTATCTCCTTTGTCACCAGCTGGTCCAGCAGGTCCTACCCCTGGAAGACCAGGCTGGCCTCTTTCACCACGTACCCCAGGAAATCCACTTGAGCCAGGGGGACCACGTTCTCCTTTCAGCCCAATTGTACCCTAATTTTAGGAAAAAAGCAGTAATATTTACAGTACCTCTCACACTAATAATGCCTTACAAGTGATCTGAAAAGCTTACTAGTCTTTGTCAGATTCATCTATGATTTTGTGGCTTCTAGACTGGATTCATTGCAATGTACTCTTTGGGCTCCAGTTTGCATTACTGAAGCCAATGGACATTTTACCACTGACTTCATTGGAAGCAAGATTGGGTCTCATATGGAAGAGCACTTGGAAGCTACACCTGTTGCAGAATGCAGTGAAGGGGTCATTTAATGACCAGTTCTCTGATGAGTACACCATCATTTCCAACTAGGATTTAAACCACGGAATGTTGATTTATACAGTCCCAGAATCAGCACCACAAAATAGTAACTGACTTCAAGGAAATATCTGGATTTTAGAAATAAAAACCCAGACAATTTCAGAAATACAGAATTCCAATTTTTGGGTGATTTCTATTATTTAAAATAGGAAATTGTAGCAAGAAAAGTGAATCCAGTTTAGAGTTCTGTGCTAAATGCCTCAAATAGAATAAAATATAAAATAAAAGCATATGTGGGGCATTCAGAACCATTTTTCCTCTTTTGGGTTCTCTGAAATTACAGTTTGCTGGTTCTTACTCTACAGGATACATCAGAATAGGGACAGGACAGAACTAGAGCCAGCACCCTGTCCATCAGGTGCATTTATGAGACAAAACAGGTAAGCTTAAAGTAAATTATATGCCAAATGTCGCTAACAGATATTTTCTAAAAGGCAAGAAAATATGGCATTCAAGCTTCCCAAAACTGCAGTGACAAATCTAGCTACAGATATTGGAAGTGGCTGCTGTGAAAATGACTGTGATCTCTTCACATCATAACTCGATCAGAAGAAGAACATTCCTTGAACAATGGGCTAGATTCTGACTATCAGCAGAGCCCTCACCAAAGTATTGCAGGTAAGTTGCACCTGCCCAGGATAAGCCCTGAGAGAGACTGTGACTCAGAGACACATTTCTGAGTCACAGTGCCTCCCCTACTTTCTCCTTGATCCCGGAGGTAGTAATTTATTGCTGGTCTACAACTACCCCCATGATCTTGCCAGCAATTTTCTGGGGAAGGGAAATGGAACCAGCTCTGCCCATTCACCACAGTTCTGGGGAGGAAGCAATAGGGCAAGTAGGTCTGGTTATTCCCAGGTACCAGGCCACACCATCTAAGTAAGCCTTACTTACTCCCATAGCATATACTCAGAGCCTGAATGTAGCTCAGTGACACTACCATCATGCAAACATTCTTAGCTGTTTAGTAGTATGGGCCTCATTCTTATACCCTTAGCAGTCCCAATGAAATCCTCCGTTGAGGAGTAAGGATTCTACTCAAATGAGTCGGGGTGTGAGAATTTGGCCCAAAGAATGAGACAAGTAAACATAAACTGCATATTATATAACAACTACATATAATTAGTGAACTAGAAGATAGCATGCAAAAATGTAGACACACACATACCGATGCCCCTTTAGGGCCCTGGACACCTGGCAGGCCATCTCTCCCTGGCCTTCCTTCTCTTCCAGGAACACCTGGTTGCCCTGGGAATCCAGGATCTCCTTTATCACCTTTTATATTAGAATCAAAGTAAATGTCTCCGGGCTCTCCCTTTGCTCCTGGGCTACCAATCAGTCCTCGCACACCTGGAGAACCCTGAAATTATACACAATTCCAGCACCATTCAATGCCTATTCAATGCATTCTTTTTCCCAGCCAAAAAGAAAAAAAATCTTCAAGTGTAAAGAAAACCCCCCTAACGTTCATCCCAGACACTGAACAGTAAGCAAAAAGAGTGGATTTGCCAGGACAGAGAATGCGAATTAACTGATAATGGCCATCATAACAGAAACTTTTCTTTCTTGGTCTCCTTACTAGCTTCTACAGTTTTCTAATTCTGAATGTTTGTATTAATTGTTTGAATAGGAACTAAAGGCCATGTTATTGAAAATGGTACTCTAATTGTTCATATATTGATCATAAGGATTCAGAGTTCACCTTCTATAAGGCCTCGATGTCAAGATAATTTAGTAATTCTTAATATAGCTGTTCCTCAAGTTATGGTTTGATAACAAGCATATTATGATTTTGTATGTAACCAATTGTTTCCAATACTTCTACCTACTTGCTATTACTTGAATCTCTGTTCTTTGTTAAATAAGCTTATACTTGTTTTCACTATAAACAAATCTAAGTGCTGTGAGTTGAGCAGAGTGGTGCTCCTGAGATGAAACTGGTAAAGTGGGGTGTGCTATTCCTTTGGGAGTAGCAAATTTGTGAATTCTCTGTGTGTCTAGTGAATCAGGGGCTGGTCACTCCAGGAGGACACTTAGAGGGCTCAATGGTTGGAGCTTACCTATCGCTAACCTGTAGAGAGAGAGTGGGGCCTGCGTACGCCTGGTGGAGAGTGCTTGTGTTGCCCATTACTGGTGGAGTTGGGGAGCTGACCCTCAGCAAGCAAATGCAAGGCTTTCTCACGCTAAGGGCAGATGGTAGCAAGGTGCCTTATAATGCTACCCCGGGAAACACCACAAGAGAATTTTTTTTGTTCTTGCTTAGAAGTCATTTTTCCCTCTCTTTCTTCCCCTAGATCAACAGGACTTCCTAGCCACAGTTTGTTTCAGAAAGGCCAAATCAAGAGCTTTTATCTGTCAATGCCAGCTCCCAGTAGAGCATTTTGTTTCTTTTTAATTTTTGTTTTTATTTTCAAAAAAATCAGTGAACAAATATACAATACATTACAAATCATTCTTATCCCTGTAGTACTTACACACACACACTTTTCTCACAGATCCTAACAGATTGTCTACTAAATTCCATCTACCATTTATGTAAGTCTAGCTAATGAAACAAGAGTAAAGGCTAATTATTACATGATGAATGTTCCGTTCTCCTTGTCTACCTTGTTTTATTTGAGCTATCCAAGGAAATAGTTCCGCCGATGAACAGCTTACAATTTAATGAACGAATTGTATTTAAAGGGCTTCCACCCATTCTTATAGCCCCCTACATATTATCCTGAACCTATGTTTAATTCTTTCATGGAAACATTTTCTCTAATTGAAAAAGAAAAATGAAAGGGTCCCAGTCACCAGGGAAGTGAAGCTGACTGAAAACTTCAAAGGGAAACTCCTCCTGCTAATATACGCTGTGCTTCCACCCTTCGGACCTGAACCAGCACCCCTCCTAAATCAATAGGAATCTTTCCATTGGATTTAGTGGGTGGTGGATCAGGCATGGCCTCCAGCAATGTGAGCCTGCCAAGCTGGGCACTCTCTAGCCTATCTAAGCTAAACTAAAAGCTAACTCACCAGCTGTTTAATGAATCTGTTTTAACTTTTCCAAGCAAAACAAAGTTAAAAGCATCCAGGATACCAGCAAATCCTTGTTTGAAGAGAGGGGTGAAAGGAGACTAAAGGAGAAGGAAGAGATGTAAAGGTTTAGCAATATCCACAGTAAAAGATTATGCTATGTTACTCAAGAAATGATAACAAATAGTAGAGAATCCATTTTGCTATTTCCCTCCTCCCCAACAGATCCCATTTACATTACTGTAAATTAAACAGCATGATGATGTCATTTGGTTTCCCATGAGCAATTTAAACACAGATAAAATATCACCAAAAAGACCTAGCTTTGGATAAATCAGGCCAAAATAGCCTGTATGTAAGTGTTCAGTCCACTCACATCTGGGCTGAATTTGGCTCCCAGTGTCAAAAGCTATATTATAATGCAGCAATATTTAAAGCTGATCAGGGCCGCCCAGAGGATTCAGCGGGCCTGGGACAAAGCAATTTCGGGGGCCCCTTCCATAAAAAAAAAGTTGCAATACTATAGAATACTATATTCTCGTGGGGGCCCCTGTGGGGCCCCGGGGCCTGGGACAAATTGCCCCATTTGTCTACCCCCCCCCCGGGCGACCCTGAAGCTGATACTCTGAGTAACGGCACTACTAAGATGCAATTTGCTTTTCTAACCTTCCTTTATTCTTTCTAAACCACTTCTTTTATTTTGTAGCTATTTAGAAATCACATTTGGTGCAATATACTACATATTTCCTCTAGTTTAGACAAATTGCTAAAATATATTGCATAATATATTTTAACAACAATGAAATTATACTAGATGGTGCTGTACTACACACACATGTAAACACACAATAGCAAATAGTCATTATAAACCTCCTCTGCAACACGAAAGGAACAGTCAGAACAGATTTGACATCTGATTCAGGTAAAGTCCTGCTTCTTATCCAAATGTACCACTTAGCTGACTGAGCCATAAGGCCAACTGTTTTCTTGAGGTCATGCAGTGGCTAAGTGCAGTTTTACTGCAACTCACTTCTACAAGCTTTTCTCCTCCCATAACTAAACCACACTACCACCTAATTGATTTTAATACACACAACCAATTCTTTAGCATCGGTTAATGGGGCTACTACACAGTAGCACTGAGTGTCTCCTGTGACATGCCTAACAGAAAATAAATATGAAACATTTGAAAAACATTTACTTACAGGAACCCCTTCAAGACCTTTGAGTCCAGGCACACCCCTATCTCCTTTGGCTCCTGGCTGTCCTGGAAAGCCTTAAAAAGAATATGAAAAATAAAACAATATGTACTATAGATATGGGTACATAATAGCTTACTGTGTTTTAGAGGCTTTGAGGTCCTTCTCAAATGGTGCCCAATTCTGCCCTCAATTATACCCATGCAACTCTACTGAAATTAATGAAGTTGCCTGGGCATAACGGAGCTCAGGATCTAACCCAGTATATGTGCATGAGGCCTGGGAAGAAGATACATAGCACACAACTCAATTACATAAGTTGGGCAGCATGCCCTGAATTCAGCCCACTAACTGGAACTGCCATTTCCAGACTGCAATTCACTGAACCACCACAGAATTTTCATTCTGTTTCATCACCTCCCAAACACTGACAAGTGCACATATATAATACAAAAGCATTATTCATATGTACCTGACAGACAGCAATTATTCTCTAGACTGATAATTTCTGTTTGGCAGCAGTAGTCAATACTGGAGACCAGGGATGTGATTAGGGCTTAACGCTACGTCAGAGTACATAAAAATGTGTCATAAAAATGACACCTCTAGGGCTCTCATTACATATTGTTTGTAGAGCCGTCACTTTTTATGTTTACAGAGGGATTTAAATAGAAAAGGTTAATTTTTATCCAGCAGCCCCTCTGCCGAACACAATTTCTTCTGGTGGCTGCCCATGCTTCTACTAGAATTTGGCCCTATAAATCAAAAATTCACTGTAAAATCATAAATGGATATAAAATAGTATTTAAAATATTTCCATGAATATAATAATCTGAAAACATGGGGGGAGGTTAAAACTTAAAAGCAAGCAATGTATTTTTCAAGAAAAAATGATTTTATTAAAATCATAGGTCCCGATACTACAAAAGGATCCTTTAAGCCATCTCAACACCATGATGCCCAAGGGATGAAAGAGAAAGTCTTACTCCCCCCTGAGAAAACTAAGTTGCTGTGTCAGGGTCAACCATGATCTGGCCTTAATAACTCAATTCAGTATCAGATCTCAGCACAGTTCTGAGCATGTGCGATTTCTAGGTTGCAAACTTTAAAAGCAGGATGATTCCGGTTGAAGTCCTACTGAAAACCAGTCAAGTCCCCACCACCAAGAGAAAGATTAATGAAGAAAAAATACTACATATAGCTATTGGTTATTGACAAAGCCTTTTCAAATTCAGATTGCCCTTTCATAATCCTTGGGAAAACAACATTTAGGTCAGGCTTTCAAAAGGGCTCAGAGTTGTCTGAGTTCTGCTCCTTTTGAAAGCAATAGTAAAACACTTGTTGATTTCAATGGAAGCAGAGTTAGGCCACTACCGAGCATTATGGAAAATCCTGCTCTTTCATTATTTTCAGGAATGAGTCGATTAGTGGAAAAATATTAATTTATGACACATAGAATCATAGAATATCAGGGTTGGAAGGAACCTTAGGAGGTCATCTAGTCCAACCCCCTGCTCAAAGCAGGACCAATCCCCAACTAAATCATCCCAGCCAAGGCTTTGTTAAGCCGGGCCTTAAAAACCTCTAAGAAAGGAGATTCCACCACCTCCCTAGGGAACCCATTCCAGTGCTTTACCACCTTCCTAGTAAAAAAGTTTTTCCTACTATCCAACCTAAACCTCCCCCACTGCAACTTGAACATACAGATGCAGAGTTGTGATTCTGGTTTGTTTGTATAGCTTTTGGTTTTTACCTGGTGGACCTGGTGGACCTTGTGGCCCTGGATGTCCAGGAAGCCCAGATACATCACAAAAGGCACAACCATCACCTTTATCACCTGCAAAAATAAAAAAAGATTTAAGAGGACTACAAGCAAATCCTTTAAGAAGAAAACACCCTCGAGACATTGTACGTTGATTGAGAGAAAGTAAATTTGTTAGCCAAATTCATAAATCAATTTTATGAGCAAATTTATTTAAAAATTTTAATGGTCTTTTTAAAAAAAACTTCAAATTCCTTTTTGTGTGACAATACTGATGTGTAAAACTTTATTAATGGGTAGGGGGAAAAGATAATCTGACTGAAGAGGGAACAAACAAGAACTAGTGTAGTATGTGCCTGATTAAAAACAAAATTAGATAAAAGGGGGAAAATGGGGACTCTGGAACTCACATAGATTTTGTGGGTTTGGAAAAACAGTGACTGCAAAGAGACTTTGGGACCAAATTCTCTCCTGGTGTAAATGGGGGCAAACCCATTGATTTCAGTGGTGTTTTGCAGATTTATACCAGCCCTGCTAAAATCAACAGAGCCATATCCATTTGCAGAGTTCAGCCCTTAGCTTTTCTCTGAACCCAAGCAAAGGAAAGGGCCAGGAGGAGGAAAATGTGGGATGCTTTGTTGCTGATTAGAAGGATAGGAGACCTGCTCTGCGAGAAAAGTAACGTTTTATCCTTGAGAAAGAAATGAATTTGGACATATCAATGCATTTGAGAAAGCAAGATCACTACGGATCAGAGGGCAAAGGCAATTGGCATTGCAGACAGGGAAATGGAACTTGAAGGTAAATATATGTAAGAAAATTACAGTTGAGAAGAGCATTGCAATGGAGACTGTTTCTCAGCAAAGTGCTGCAATCTTTCTAGTTTTCTATACTTCACCCTATAAAATAACCACTGTACTATAGAATAAATTAAATCTTTATTTTCAATAGCTTTTGATGTTGTCACTTGAAAACACACTGGTTTTTTAGAAGTCTCCCTACTCAAGTCAGGCTGAGCACATCCAGCCACAATGGAACAAAAGCAGAAATCTCTAAAAGCAAGATATTGGTAAAATAATGGATGAAGGAAAGTAGTAGATACAGCACTACAGAGGGTTTGGCCAAAAAGCCTGCCCGTAGGTGAGCTCAGCCTGAATTTGATTGGCTGTTTGTGCTATACTGTGTGAGTCTGACTCACCAATAAAAGGATACTTCTGTTAGAGCATTTTTAAGTGGAATTTTTGTTTGTTCTTTAAAGAAACTGATTTGAGTTCAGCCTCTTGGCTTTCCAAAAATGAAGCACATGAAAAGCTCTACAACTTTCGCAATATACTGTGATTCCTTCCTAATATAATGAAAGAATTAACTTCTGTTTCATGACTAAGGACTGGATCCTGCAAGGTTTAAGTTCTCTCAATCCTGGGGGGAAAGCAGGAGAAGCTCAGCACCTTGCAGATCAGGCCTTTGGTCAACCAAACTCTGTGCTGATTTAACAGCCTGTGTAACCCTATCAATTTCAATAAGTTACATGTGAATCAGTGCCGAATTTGACAATCTCTGGATTCCCTTTAGGATCTTTTAGTATTTTCCTAACATTAAAATACATTTTGGCCTAGATTCACAAAGGTATTTAAGCAGCTAAATCTGGGTTTAGGTGTCTAAGTCCCAGTTTTAGCATTCACTACAATTCACAAAATTCCGGCTGAATCTAGTAGGTGCCTAAACTCACCCAGTACCTAGGGTTTTGCAGTAAAAAGTTCCCTTGGTCCCTGTTTCTGCCTCTGGGCATACACACTGCAGCCTGCCTCTAGGTGTCCAAGCGCTTATCTCCTGCCTAAGCCCCAGAGTGATTTTACAAACTGGGGAAGACAGGTGTACATCTGCCTAACTTGCAAGTTGGGCCTGATGCGGGGGGCAGGGTGAGAAAGCTCATACACAAGCATGAGAATGACTCTATAGCCTGGTGGTTAGAGCACTCGCCCAGAATGTAGGAAACCCCCCTGCTCAAATGACTCTAATTATTTATCCACAATGGAACTGCTTCAACAAGAGAGACTGAGGCAGCGCCACACAGCCCCAAAGGTGAATGCCTTTACCAGAGAGGTGGCAGATCCCTCTTCAAATCCCTTCTCCTCATGAGGTGAAGGGGGGATTTAACCCAGAGGTTTCAGACATTCCCAGGTGAGGACCCTAACTGAGCTAAAAGTTACAAGGGAGGCCCGTTCCCCATCTGCCTGGCATCTTTAAACAAACAAAAAAACACCATAGGCACCTACCTTCAAGGAAGGCCTCACAGCTGAGAATAGTTAGAAATGCTAGGTCCCTCCCTGAAGCCTGGACTCATGCATCTATCTCAGTGAGAAGGGGGAGGCTTAGCAAACACCCATCTTGTTGGCATCTCCCGTTGGTGAGCTCAGGCAGTTCCCCATCTAGCATAAATGCTTTTGTGGATCCCATTCTAAGGCACCTAACTCTTCCCATTCATTGCATAGGAGCCCAGGCAAATAAATCGGGCTTTGTGGATCGCAGCATTGTTCCTGTGATTTAATAGGAACCTAAAAGTTAGGTGTCGCAATGCTGAGCATCACAGTGCTTAAGTACCTCTCTGAATCTAGGCCATGGTCACTGCAAATTTTATATTTTGTATTTTTCATACAAACTACTTTTTATTTTAATAATTCTATAATTGCTTCCTAACTCTTGACTATTATCATCTATTATCATCTTGACTGTCATCTACAAGAGAAGCTTAGATGACTACTATAGGGTGTTTCCCTAATGAGTTCGTAAATCTGTAATCACTACATGTGGCCTCTTCTCCAATGCCTGCTTATTCACATCCTGCCTGCAAATGTCCCTATCTTGTTAATTAAGTCGTAGTTGGAGCCTAAGAAAACTACCAAGGATTTTATTAACATAAAGAACGTGCTATGTCAAGTCTTACCGAGTTTCACAAATCATTACTATGCAATTTGGATATAAATTCCTGGGTCTATCTCTGGGCTTTGTCTAATTCTTTTTTATTATTACTAAATGCTTCTATTACCATCTTTATATCAATAGATCACAAATCCATTTTCCATTCCTGATCTGGCTCTTTCCATCCACTTCTGCATCTCAGCCTCTCTTTCTGACATCCCTCTACATCTTATCATCCACTTGAACAAGTAAAGCTGATCTTATCTTTCCACTGAAATCCTCCCATCCTTTACCACTATAAGGCAGAGCGGAGGATCTGAATTACAAACTGAAGTCAGCGTCATGGAACTTAATTCAACACCACCGTCCTCTCTTTCATTCAGGCCTCTATCCTGGGAAACTCACATGGTCAAAGTTAAGCCGGCACTTCTCTGGATCAGGACTAGGGTGCTCAACACTTTGCAGAATCAAAGCCTTAATGACTACACAAGTGAGAAGATAGTGGAGAATCAGGCCCATTGAATGGTCCAAATGAATGCAAGGCGCTCTTTAAACAATTTTACCTTTATCTCCTCTCTCTCCTAAGAATCCAGGTTGTCCTTGAGGTCCAGGAAGACCTCGATCACCAGGTTCTCCATGCTGACATTCCGTGATTCCATCTGCAATTGGAGTAAAATAATAAAGAACATTATTCTCCAAGTATAATTTTTCATAATACTACAGTTCAAGTCAGTGTCACTTCTCCATGGATTATTATGAGCAATGGTGAAGTAGCTACAGGTTGATTGTGACCATGAAGAGAAGCAAGTTCACATATTTAATTGTCCAGTTCAGCTATTATGGAAATTAAAGAATAAAATCAATACCGGGCTATAGATATGTAATCAAGTTCTATAGATGTTACTCTAAAAACCTATGGAATTATGGACAAGTGGCAGTCTCTCCATATTAAGGTTGCAAATAACTTCCATTTAAAAACCCAGGCTTTGAAAACTGATAATACTTCATTCAAAATAGAACATATTTTTACACTGGAGGCTAAGGAGGATATTCTGAAAAGTCTGAAAAAAGTTCACTAAGCAGATTTTAGTTATGGTTACATTTTAAAATTACACTGATTTGAAATCTTCATTTTTGTCTTAGGTTTCTTTGGATCTTTCTAGAACAAAAGCAGCTTGTTAATAACCTTCCAAATTTTTCATGTCATTAAATCTCCCTGAAAACTCACATACTATATATATTTGAAGAAAGCAGATGTTTTAGGGTCGGGAGTAAGAAAACAAGTGAAAAGGTTCACCAGAACCTCAGGTCTGAACACAAAAAATAATGCTCCCTAGGTTGAGTTTTATTGCAGGGGTCCTGAATCAATATAATTTGACATCATTTTGGCTGAAGTCTCTAGCAGAAATCTTTTTGTGCAGTTTTGCAAGCAACATATGACACTACACCCCATTTTAATCCTAGTAATATTATGTTATGATTATGGCACAATTATGATTTATTTTGTACAAGATGGATCATGTAAGGTGTCATTGGAAAAGTTATGATTTGCTGAATATGATTATCCTATTTGTATGCATGTATCATTTTTGTATCTTAAGTTATGAATATTGACTGTATCTGTATTTCAAACGTAGTTACACCTGGGCAACACCCATTAGACAAGATGCCTCCAGTCTAGATAGCTGGGTAAGGAAAGGCCTATTAAGGGTAATGGGCCATTAGGGAAAACAATAGGCCTTAGGAGAAGCTTATCTCCCACCTGGTGAGCCTTCCTGAGACTGCTCCAGAGAGCCTGTAAGTATGACTCAGCAGGGTATGCAGGGGCATGTGACCAGACCACATGACACTGATCTCCATTTTGCATACCTGTATTTTCCCACAAACTGGGCTGGGAACTGACTTTGAAACAAAGGGTTTCCGCCATGTGTGAAAGCTATATAAGGTGGGGTGTAACATCATCAAGGGGCCTCACTCTCCACACAAGAAAACTACTGGAAACACCTGAGGTAAAAAAGACTAGACTGGGGGAAATGCTGGTTCCAGGCTAAAAGGATTTCTAGCCTGTGTATGGAAAACTGGTGAATTGCTTGTATCATCAGCCAGGTGAGACATTGCTAATTCATATCTGATCTATCTAGTATTTTAGGCTTTGTTTGTGGTTTTATTTGCTAGATCAGGAGTCGGCAACCTATGGCACGCGTGCCAAAGGTGGCACGCGAGCTGATTTTGCCTGGTACGCGGCTGCCAGCTGGGGTCCCGGCCGCCGGCCCCGCTCAGCCCGCTGCCGGCTGAGTGAACGGAACCCCAGGAGGCTGAGCGGGGCTGGCGGCCGGGACCCCAAACCAGCAGCAGGCGCACCCACCGGCACCTCCCTCACTGCGCTCGGGTTCTGCGGCTCCTGGGAGTGTGACCCCTCCCCCAGCACTCTGCGGGGGAGGGGCTGTGCACGCGGCAGCCCAGCAGCGTGTTTTGCCTCCACGTGGAGCCAGTGTCTGACCAGCATGGGCATGGTAAGGGGAGTCCCGGGGGGCAGTCAGGGAGTAGGGGGAGGGTTGAATGGGATCGGGAGTTCTGAGGGTTCTGTCAGGGGGTGGGGAATGGTTGGATGGGGCGTGGGAATCCCGGGGGGTCTGTCTAGGGGCGGGGGTGTGGATAAGGGTTGGGGCAGTCAGGGGACAGGTAGGGGACAGTCAGGGGACAAGGAACAGGGAGGCTTAGGTAGGGGGTGGGGTTCTGGGGGGCAGTTAGGGGCAGGGATCCCAGGAAGGGGCAGTCAGGGGACAAGGAGCAGGGGGGAGGTTGGGGGTTCTGACGGGGGCAGTCAGGGTGGGAAGTGGGAGGGAGCGGATGGGGGCGCGGCTAGGGCAAGGCTCTCCCCTCTTTTTTGATTGTTGAAATATGGTAACCCTATGGGAGGGAGGAGCCGGGGGGGGCGCATGGGGGCTGGCGCCCGCAAACATCCACTGCAGCCTGCAGGAGCCCCCGGGGGGGGGCGCCAGGCCACAGCCTGGGCAGGAAGGGTGGGGGGGGCGGCTGCTCCCCGCTAGCGGCACTGCTGCCTTTGCAGGGCTGATGCCCCCCTGCACTGCGCCGGCTCCTCCATGGCTGGGGCTTGCTGCTGCCACAAGCGGGACACTCTGGCTCTCCCGTGCCTCCGGAAGGCGGCTCCTCCCTGCCGAGCGCTGCTGCAGTGGCCCAAGCCCGGCAAAGCCAGTGAGTGGACTCGGGGCGGGGGCCACCGGGGTGGGATGGGGAGGGGTTGCGGGGGGGGGGGCTGTGCACCCTCCAGGGGAGTTCAGGGGGCAGGGAGGGGGGAACCTGGTCTGGGGAGCAGCCCCTGGGCATGGCTGGCCCCTGGGCAGGCTGACCCCTGGGGTCTAAAAAGGCTCTTAGGATTTGTCCCTCAATGAACTGATGTGTGTGTGGGGGGGGGGGGGGGCGCAAGGTGGAAGTTTTGCCTAGGGCGCAAAATATCCTTGCACCGGCCCTGCCCCAGGGGGTGCGTGCACCCCAGGTTAAGGACCACTGCACTAAACTGATAAGATCTGCATTTTAATTTAATTTTAAATGAAGCTTCTTAAACATTTTAAAAAACTTGTTTACTTTATATACAACAATAGTTTATAGACTTATAGAAAGAGACCTTCTAAAAATGTTAAAATGTATTACCGGCACGCAAAACCTTAAATTAGAGTGAATAAATGAAGACTCGCCACACCACTTCTGCAAGGTTGCCAACCCCTGTGCTAGATAATCTGCTTTGATCTGTTTGCTATCACTTATAATATCTTAAAATCTATCTTCTGTAGTTAGTAAACTTGTTTTATGTTTTAATCTAAACCTGTGAGCTCTGACTGAAGTGTCTGGGGAAAATCTCAGCTTGGTTAACGCAAGCATATTATGCATATTCCTCTCCACATTGAGGGAAAGGCGAACTGGGTAATAAATTCATACAGGTCACAGTTTCGACCAGGCAGGATGGTACAGCTCTGGGGTCTTAGGCAGGGAAGCTGGGGGTTATTTTGGCTGTAGTCTTTCTATTGTTGGTTCATGCAGTGGCTGACCACAGCCTGCATGCAACTGCAGCTGGGTGTGTCCCTGCCTATGTGAATGCTGGTGGGAGTGTAGGACTGGAAGCACTCCACAGCTTGTCACAGCAGCACAGTGCTGAGAGGGAGCCCAGGCTGGTAAGTCAGAGAACTCAGTGCTACCCCAGTTCCAGATAGCACCCCAGGGGGAACCCATCACACAACATATTACAACAAACACACAAAACAAACCCAGGAAGTAAAAATCAGTTTTGTGTTATGCATATATTTTGTGAAAACTGGTAAAATGAGGTGGAGTGATTTTTTTTTGGTCAGCGTTAAGGTTTTACGGTAATGAACTATACATTACTTTACTCTTGATCAAACTTTTTTTTATTATGTGGGCAGTATAATATTTATAGTGTTTTTAACTATTGATTTTCTTGTTTATAAGTGTTTGGGTTTTGTAATAATGCCATAAGGAAATATATTATCACTAAGCAACCTTAATTGTTTTTTTAAACTAAGCTTTGTTGGTTTAGGAATTTCATAGAGAACGACATTCCTATCTATAGCTTATTAAGCCATCTGGAATTCTATAGCAAGGATATTGTCCTCAATTTCTGTAGAAGATTGAAAAAATCCCCACAAGTATAGAAAGGTTATTATTTTCTATTAAAATGTATAGCAGGAGTCGGCCACCTTTGGCACGCTGCTCCCTGGCGGGCCGGGCCGCTTTGTTTACCTGCTGCGTCCGCGGGTTCGGCAGATCGCGGTTCCCGCTGGCCGTGGTTTGCCGCTCCAGGCCAATGGGGGCTGCGAGAAGGCGCGGCCAGCACATCCCTCGAACCGCACTGCTTCCCGCAGCCTCCATTGGCCTGGAGTGGCAAACTGTGGACAGTGGGAGCCGCGATCGGCCGAACCTGAGGACACGGCAGGTAAACAAAGTGGCCCGACCCGCCAGGGTGCCTACCCTGGTGAGCCGCGTGCCAAAGGTTGCCGACCCCTGATCTATAGGATTTTATCATTAGGGAATCCTCAGTTGCAAAATCTCCTCCCCACACTATTTTAAAAAGTTTCTCTCTACCACAATAATTTAGTAATACCTGATATGTACATCTCTTTTCAAGTCTGCTGAAGAATTGCGGATAAAATACTATTGTCTTTATGTCACTGATTACATTTTAGCTACGGTGCAATAACATGTTAGTGTTTAATTTTAAAGGCGTAAATAATAAAACAAATGAATTTGAATTGTATCATTTTTAATCTTCAATTTTTATTCTTTATCCAAGTGATAAAGGCTAGTAAAAAGATTCTGTTATCTCTGCATTGTCATTCTTCAGTAACAAAAAACTAAACAAACAAAAAAAAATCAGGCCCAGTTCAAACAATTAAAATGTTGTAATTTAAAATCCAAATAAAGACTACAGGGAATGCTACAAACAAGTGATATAATTCAATATTAACATTTCATGTTGAACAAATTTGTCTATAAACACTATTTGAAGGCACAGATGGCTAGAGCTAACTGAAAGCATATGGGAGGAATTATAAAGCAGAAAATTAGGAGAGAGAAAATGGAAATGTCTAAAGTCTCTCTAATGTTTGTTTAATGAACTATTAATGTGTCCCTAGGTAGCAATTAACACTGAAATATATCCTTGCTTATTTGTAATTATCTACTACTTATTTTATGTTGACTGGAAAGTACTATCCATAATTAAGTGCAAATGTATATTACAATCTGTCTAGTCAAATACTTTCTAGTCACTTAAAAATAAAGGAAAAGCCAGGTCCTCAGATGGTGTAAATTGACATAGCTCTATTGAAGGCATTGGTGCTACACCAATTAACGCCAGCTGAGGATCTGGCCTGAGAAATTTAAACATGAGGTGAAAATTTGTTAGTCAGTAAAACAGAATCAACCACAACCTGAAGAAGAGTTTTAACCCACAGAAAGGTAAAAAAGATACAAGATATTGCCAATAAAAGATATTGCCTCACCCACTTTGTCTCTCTAATATCCTAGGACCAACATGGCTACAACAACACTGCAAACATGAGAAAGGTTCTCATTCCCCAACTTTATTATGTTAAAAGGCCATTTACACTAAGTTATAGGTAAACACCTAGGATGAGCCATTGCAAGTATTGTACTTGCAAAAATGTATGGAATAAAAGGAACCTTTTTGGTTCCTTACATAACCATTAAAGAATGGAAAACATGTTTAATTATAAAACACCCATAAAGCATTTTGCTTCTTCATCAGCTGTTCATTTAGATTTATAAAACAAGTACCCATCCCATGCTCTAGACACCTTAATGCCATTTTCACAATAAAAACTACTATGTAAAAAGGAAATAACTTCTAATTTATAAATGTTGGGCCTGATTCTGTAGTCATTATCACATGCTACTTCCACTTACATCACATGAGTAAAGAATCATAGGATTAGAACCCTATTTTCTCATTATCAAATACAATGTGCATACAAAACAATGCAAGTATTTTTTTGTCTTCATTTTAAAAATTATTTTATTGTCAGTACATAAATATGTGAAAGTTAGCACGTCAAAACAGAGGCACACTGCGCCCTCGCTCCTCCCCCATCCACCTTCCCCCCCCAGCTCCTCCTCACACTGCAAAACATCTGATCCACAGCAGGCAGTAGGCGCTGATCAGTGAGGCCCGCCAGCGGGCAGGAGGCACTGGGGAGAGGGGAAGGTTCTGGCAGGGCCGGCTCTAGCGTTTTTACCGCCCCAAGCGGACACCCACAAGAAGCCGTGATCGCGATCGGCAGCAGGTCCTTCGCTCCCAGAGGGAGTGACGGCCCCGCCGCCGAACGGCCGGACGTGCCGCCCTCCTCTTCATTGGTTGCCCCAGGCACCTGCTTGCTATGCTGGTGCCTAGAGCCGGCCCTGGGTTCTGGTAGGGGAGCTCCTCCTTGGGCCCCCCACCGCCTGCCTACCTGCCACTCGCCTCCTCATTCACCTCACCATCCCGCCCACCTCCTCAAGATTTTATCAAAGCAGGGGGCCCCCTAAAGCACAGGGCTCCCCAAAGTGTGGCACCCTGATTCACCGTACCAAGAGATGGCTCTGCATATATAACTATTTATGCTAGGTGTGGGATCATGTAATCAGATACATTTTTGAAAGAAGTCAAAAGTAGCAGCCATTTAGCCAGAAAAAGATCTGTGTCTTGAGCCAGGTAAGTGATTTGTTTAATTATTAGACAGTTCCTCATTTTTTTGCATTAACAAAGTCACATATGTTTCTCTCTTTCCATATTCAGGGAGCATTTCTTTTCACACTGATTCTGATCATGGCCTCCACTTTCCTGACATATCCGTGTTGTCCTTGTTCTTTTTGAATATACAAAACTTTAACACTGTTTTGGCTGCATATTGAAATAAATTTTTCACTTACTTGATATGCCTGGAGGTCCTGGAGGACCTGGAAAACCTTGAGGCCCTGGAAAACCATCCCTTCCAGTTGATCCAGGCAGAGAGCGTCCTGGAGGACCTCGGTCACCCTTTTCACCTCTCTCACCAGGGAAACCAGGTGGACCTGTGATCCCTGGGCTAGGTAAACCTTATTTAGAACAAAGTAAAACACACATGAAAGCAAATACAAATAAAAAGTAAAACCATCAACAGATGCACCAGCAATAAATTCCTAAGATTAAGGGGCAAAACCCAGTATAACACAAAGGACTGCATTTTGATTCTTGAAGATTTATATTAAATTTAAATACTAGTCCCATATATTAGCACTATTTTTCAAATCTGAAGTCTATCCTATAGATGTGTGACCTTAGAAGATGGTGTGAAAATGAAGCATGCAGGGAGTCATTTTACCACTACCATACTCCAAATATGGATAGCCTTCGCAAGAATCTCCAAGGAATAGATCTAGAACATAAGAATGGCCATACTGAGTCAGACCAGTGGCCCATCTAGTGCAATGTCCTGTCTTCTAACAGTAGTCAGTGCCAAATGCTTCAGAGGGAATTAACAGAACAGGATAATGTATTGAGTGATCCATTCCCTGTTGTCCAGTCCCAGCTTCTGGCAGTCAGATGCTTAGGGACCCCCACAGCATGGGGTTGCTTCGCTGACCAGCTTGACAAATAGCCATTTATAGACCAATCTTCCGTGAATTTGTCTCATTCTTATCTCCATGAACTTCTCATTTTTGAACCAATTTATACTTGTGACCTTCACAACAGCCCCTGTCAATGAGTTCCACAGGTTGATTGTGCCTTGTGTGAAGAAGTAAAACTGTTTGTTTTAAACAGTCTGCCTATTAATTTATTTGGGTGACCCCTGGCTCTTGTGTTATGTGAAGGAGTAAATAACATTTCCTTATTCACTTTCTCTACACCAGTCATGATTTTATAGACTTTTATCATATTCCCCCCTTAGTCATCTTTTTTATAACCTAAACAGTCCCTGTCTTTACTCTCTCCTCATATGAAAGCCGTTCCATACCCCTCATCATTTTTGTTGCTCTCTCTCCATTTTTTCCAATTATAATATATCTTTTTTGATATGGGGCAATCAGAACTGCATGCACTATTCAAGGTGTGGATGTTCCTTTATATAGTGGATTTATGATATTCCCTGTCTTATTATTTATCCCTTTCCTAATGGTTCCTAACATTCTGTTAGCTTTTTTGATTGCTGCTGCACATTGGGTTGATATTTTCAGAGAACTATCCACAGTGACTCCAAGATCTATTTCTTAAGAGTTAATAGCTAATTTAGACCCCATCATTTTGTATGTAGAGTTGAGATTATGTTTTCCAATGTGCATTCCTTTGTATTTATCAACATTGAATTTCATCTGCCATTTTGTTGCTCATCCACCCAGTTTTGTGAGATCCCTTTGTAACTCTTCATAGTCTGCTTTGGACTTAACTATCTTGAGTAATTTTGTATCATCTGCAAACTTTGCCACCTCATTGTTTATTCCTTTTTCCAGATGATGTTGAACAGGACTGGACCCAGTACAGATCCTTGTGGGACCCCACTATTTACCTCTCTCCATTCTGAAAACTGATAATTCTTTCCTACCCTTTGTTACCTATCTTTTAACCAGTTACTGATCCATTAGAAGACCTTACTTCTTATCCCATGACAGATTACTTTGCTTAAGAGCCTTTGATGAGGGACCTTGTGAAAGGCTTTCTGAAAGTCCAAATACACGATATCCACTGGATCACTCTTGTCCATCTGTTTGTTGATCCCCTCAAAGAAGTCTAATAGATTTGTGAGGCACGATTTCCCTTTACAAAAGTCATGTTGACTCTTCCACAACATACTGTGTTCATCTATGTGTCTGAAAATTCTGTTCTTTACTACAGTTTCAATCAATTTGCCTGGTACTGAAATCAGGCTTACCAGCCTGTAACTGCCAGGATCATCACTGGAGCCTTTTTAAAAAATCAGCGTTACATTAGCTATCTGCCAGTCATCTGGCACAGCCACTGATTTAAGCAATAGGTTACAAACAACAATTAGTAGTTCGGCAATTTCGTATCTGAGTTCCTTCAGAACTCCTGAGTGGATGCCATCTGATCCTGGTGATTATTATTTAATTTAGCAATTTGTTCCCAAACCTCCTCTATCGACACATCAGTCTGGGACAGTTCCTCGGATATGTCACCTATAAAGAATGGTTCAGGTGTGGGAATCTCCCTCACATCCTCTGCAGTGAAGATTCATAGATTCTAGGACTGGAAGGGACCTCGAGAGGTCATCGAGTCCAGTCCCCTGCCCGCATGGCAGGACCAAATACAGTCTAGACATCCCTGATAGACATTTATCTAACCTACTCTTAAATATCTCCAGAGATGGAGATTCCACAACCTCCCTAGGCAAATTTATTCCAGTGTTTAACCACCCTGACCGTTAGGAACTTTTTACTAATGTCCAACCTAAACCTCCCTTGCTGCAGTTTAAGCTCATTGCTTCTTGTTCTATCCTTAGAGGCTAAGGTGAACAAATTTTCTCCCTCCTCCTTATGACACCCTTTTAGATACCTGAAAACTGCTATCATGTCCCCTCTCAGTCTTCTCTTTTCCAAACTAAACAAATGCAAAGACCAATGCAAAGAATTCATTTAGCTTCTCTGCAACAGTCTTGTCTTCCTTAAGTACTCCTTTAGCATCTTGATCCTCCAGTGGCCCAATTGTTTGGCAGACTTCTGGCTTCTGATGTACTTAACAAAAATTGCTGTTAGTTTTTGTGTCTTGCTAGTTGCTATTCAAATTCTTTTTGGGCTGCCTAATTATACTTTTACACTTGACTTGCCAGTGTTTATTCCTTTTCATTTTCCTCAGTAGGATTTGACTTCCAATTTTTAGAAGATGTCTTTTTTCTCTAAGAGCCTTTTACTCTTCCATTACTTGCATCTGAAGAAGTGAGGTTCTTACCCATGAAAGCTTATGTTCCCAATACTTCTGTTAGTCTTAAAGGTGCCACAGGACCCTCTGTTGCTTTTTACAGATTCAGACTAACACGGCTACCCCTCTGATACTTTTACTCTGTTGTTTAGCTTTGGTGACAGTTTTTGGTCCACTAACTATTTTTTTTATTTGGGGTATACATATAGTTTGAGCCTTTATTATGATGTTTTTAAAGTTTCCATATAGCTTGCAGGCATTTCACTCTTGTGACTGTTCCTTTTAATGTCTGTTTAACTAACCTCCTAATTTTTGTGTAGCTCCCCTTTCTGAAGTTCAGTGCTACTGTGGTGGGCTTCTTTGGCATTTTCCCTACCACAAGGAAGTTAAATTGAATTACATTATGGTCACTATTACCGAGCAGCTCAGTTACACTCACTTCATGGGCTTGACCCCGTGTGCCACTTCGGATCAAACCAAGAACTGCCTCTCTCCTTCAGGACTAGCTGCTCCAAGAAGCAGCCACTAATGGTGACTAGAAATTTTATTTCTGCATCCCCATGCTGAGGTGATATGTTCTCAATCAACATGGGGATAGCTGAAATCCCTCAACAGTTTTCTGGTTTTTGTAGCCTCTCTAATCTCCCTGACCATTTCACAACCACTGTCAACATCCTGGTCAGGAGGTTGATAGTATATTCCGACTGCTGTAGTCTCTTATCTTCTCTCTTATCTTGATTTCAGGAGCACTTGAAACAAAAAATATTAATGGGAATCAGTGGATAAGTGGGAAGTGAAGTGTTAAGTTAATAACTGTTAGTGAGCGTAGTGATAACAAGTAAAGAGCATCATTTAATAGTGGGGACTATTAGTAGAGGGGACTACTTAAGATCTTTTAGCAATTAATACTGTTCACTCTAGTTTTCAAAACCTTCATCAGTTATTTTTTTTAAGATCCATTATTATTCATTAATCATTAGAACTGATTTTTAAAACATTTTGTTCCTTTTACTACATTAAAAAATAAGACTTGAAAATTCACACAAGCCCACACTTCATTTAAGTCTACTCTGTAGCAACGACTAACTAAAAGTCATTGTTCTTTTTATCTTGTCACACACAGTTCTTTAGGGGGTTTTATAGCCTGCCATATGCATTATCCTCCCACTTAAACTTTGAAAACGTTCCTGGCAATAATATGACACTGCTTCACCCAAGCTTGAATACTTAGTTCACTGTCAATACCGATAATGCCAGCCCGTGACAGCCACATAGCATTGGTATCACTGGCAGACCTGAAGCAGGTATAAGGTTTGTCCTGGAGATTTAAATGGTTTGTTTGCTTTTTAAAACTCAGGAGTCAAGGCCATGGCTTGTGAGGGCAAATATAGATATATTTATTGACCTTGCTTTGGAGTTGTCAGGGTTCCCTCCCCACTCTGAACTTTAGGGTACAGACGTGGGGACCCGCATGAAGGACCCCCTAAGCTTATTTCTACCAGCTTAGGTTAAAAGGTAACGCTGCCACCACCAAGTGATTTAAACAAACATTTAGGGAGAGCCACTTGGAGCTCTGCCTTCCCCAATATCTCCCAAGCCCCTACACCCCTTTTCCTGGGCAGGCTTGAGAATAATCCCCCATGTCCCTACACCCTCCTTCCTGGGAAGGCTTGAGAATATATCCTCACCAATTAGTCCTGGTGAACACAGACCCAAACCCTTGGATCTTAAAACAATGAAAAATCAGTCACATTCTTAAAAGAAGAATTTTAATTAAAGGAAAAAAAAGGTGAAAGGAGTACCTCTGTAAGATTAGAATGAAAGATAATCTCACAGGCAATCCGATTCAAAACACAGAGGGTTTCCCTCTGGGCAAAACTTTAAAGTTACAAAAAGAAAACCAAGAATACCCTCCTTCTTAAACAAGGGAAAACAAGGGAAAACACAAGCCAAAATAAAAGTAAATTAACGCATTTCCTTGCTAAATATTCACTAACTCTATAGGAGCTGGATGGCTTGTTTCCTTGATCTGTCTCCGGCAAAAGCACACACAACAACAGACAAAGACTTTCCTCCCGCCCCGATTTGAAAGTATCTTGTCCCCTTATTGGTCCTTTTGGTCAGGTGTCAGCTAGGTTATGTGAGCTTCTTAACCCTTTAGAGGTAAAAGAGGAATTAACCCTTAACTGTATGTTTATGACAGGAGTCCTCAGAATTTTTTCACTAATTTCAATTTGTGTTTGACATTTTCCACCCAGCTATAATGAATGTCAACACGATGATAATTCCCCTAAATTCAATACTCAATAAAAAACAAAGGGACAAATTCCAGGATGCGTTACCCTTTCCCCTGAAAACTCATAAGAGAAGAAGACAAACACTCTGAGCAGTCAGCTGGGGTGGCACCCCCAGAATCCAGCACTAGGACTTCCTGCCCTCACCTCTGGTCCATGGACATGCACGGCTCCAAGGGAGCTACGTTTTCCGGGCTTCTTCTGTCTGGTTGTTCCCATCCCACTTCCATTTTAAGAGAAGTTTCCCAGCACAGAGAGGACCCCATGCAAAATTAATACAGCCTCAACGTTCTCCATAAAAAGCAGGGATTGTGCCACAGAGGTAGCTGACATCCTCCTTCCATACATGAGGAGGGACAATCCATACAAAGATCTTGAGGGGATGATTAGATCCCCCAAGAGGGCAGCGTATGCCCACTCTGGAGGTCAGGGAGTGACTGAGAGTGGCAGGTGCTCAGCACCCTTCAAGATTGACCCCAGAAGAAGTTTTTTTTAAAAGAGTGAATAAAAACAACAGTCATATGCTCATACCTGGAGGACCTGGGTATCCTGGTACACCTGGTAAACCTAAAAACAAAGGTGCTTTTTATTATGGGATGAACGCTAATGAAATAGATAATGTCAACGGTAATGATCTCATAGCATTTATTATGCAAATATCCACCACCACCTTATAACACTGGAGAGTAAAATAATACCTAGAATCAAAACTCAGATGATTTAATCTAAAATGATTTGCAAAAATTTCAGTAAAAAATAATCTGAGACTGACATCTGTGGAAGTCTGCAAGACAGAAATTTGTCAGAAAGACCCTGATCCTGTATCCACTGGAACTAGGAGGATCAGACCCTGAATCAACACCACAGGACAGGGACTAGTCTATCACTGAAACATTCCATGTAATTCCTACTATTGTTACTGGCAGTTAATCATATTTATTCAAAACAAAGCAGATCTTCAACTGAAATTCTTAGATTATACATAAAATAGTAACATTTTGCTAAATACCTGACACAGCATTCTTTGTGCCCCAAACTCCTGTTAAAGTCAGTGAGAACTCAGAATATGCAAGGAATACCTGCTAGCTGGAAAGTTTCAAAAGTTTTGAAATTTCTTCCAAAAAAATGGAAAAAATGCTCAGTTTTCCCCATCATTTTCTGACCAGCTTTATAAGTTTCTTACGTACCCTTTAAGATTGAAAATGTAATTACTGATTGTGGCTATTTAAGGAAATTATGTGCCTGAGTCTCTTTTCTGTTATCCTGCTTTCCTGCTGCTATAACTCAATGTACATTTATATGCCACGGTCAGTGGAGTATGACCAACATAAAACTGGTGTCTCAGTGAGGAGAATCAGGCCTTTTGTTCTTTCTGTGGTCACTTTACCAAGTACCAAATTGCAGCCTAACCCAAGGTGGAAGAAGGTATCCTGGACAGAGCTGAAGGAATATCTGATTTTTTCAGTTCTCTAGCTTCTCTATCTTCAAAATATTGGGGGGAAAAAATTGATTCAGATTGAACTGAACCTGAAAATTCCAAAAACTTTTGGTTAACTGAAAAAGTGTGTTTCAAATCTTGTTCCTCAGGAAATGTTGTTTCCAGACATTGTTAAAGGTCTAGATCAGGGATCTCAAACTCAAATCACCACGAGGGCCACATGAGGACTAGTACATTGGCCTTTTCATACAACGATACAAAAGTATAGTAAAAAATGAAATAAATGAAGAGTAATGTAGTATGCTATTAAAAGTCAATGTATTAACTTTTTAAAAACTGTAATGCGAAAAGGGGTTTTAATAAAATATAAACACCTGTAACTATTCCTTATGTGGTCAGTAACACCGATGATGATCTACACCAAGGGTCTCAAACACGCGGCCCGTGGGCCATTTCCTGCAGCCCACCATTTCCTGCACTGCGTAACCCTTTCCATCCCCCTGGTCACAGCCCAAAGTCGAGAGGAAAACTGAGGCTCGCCTAGGAATTATAAAAATGTTACAGAAAATTTCCACTTCATCACAGACACTGCCCAGTGTCCCAACGGAGAGCCCCCAGGCAATGGGAGGAGATGGACCTCTGGGTGCCCAGCACCCCTAACAGAGAGACCCCTGGGTGATGGGGGGGACCCCGGTGCCCAGTACCCCTAACAGAGAGACCCCTGGACAATGGGGGATGGTGCGTGGTGCCCCTAACTAACAGTCTATCACAGGGGTCTCAAACATGCGGCCCCGCCACAGCTCTGCCCCACCTCGCCTCTTGCCACCCCTTCCCCAAAGTCCCCGCCCAAACTTCGCCTCCTCCCTGACCCTATTCCAACCCCTTCCCCAAATCCCCGCCCCCGCCCCGCCTCTTCTCCGCCTCCTCCCCTGAGCACGTGGCATCCCCGCTCCTCCCCCCTCCCTCCTGGAAAGTCCTATGCGCTGCCAAACAGCTGTTGGGCAGCTGGAGCACTGGGAGGTAGGCAGAGGAGCAGGGACACAGCCCGCTGTGGAGGTGGGGGGAAGGAGGGAGCTTGGCTGCTGGCGGAGTCGCCACCTATGGTGGGCTGCGAATTTGAGACCCCTGGTGTAGATTCATAAAATGGCAGGAGGAGGAGCCAGAGTTGCCCACCTAATAACATTTAGCTCAGTGGTTATGGAATTCACCTGGGATGGGGAGACCTGGGTTTGAATCCCCTGTTAACCTGAAAGGAGCATAGATTTCAACCCAGGTCTCCCTCTTTCCAGGTGAGTGCCCTAACCACTGGGTTATGAGCTATTCTGCGCTGGATCTCTCTCCATCTCTCTGGTTGAAGCTGTTCCACTTTGTATAAGATTCACTAATTGGGCCAAAACAAGAGAGTGAGACTGCCGCTATAGGCTGGTCATCAGGCCACCCACCTTCTTCAAGTCTCTGGTGACCATTTAACTATTTATACAAATTGGAACAACTTCACCAGGAGAGTTGGAGAGAGACCCACCCCAGAATAGGCAACAGCCTGGTGGTTAGGATACCCTAATCACTGAGCTAAACGTTATAAGGGGAGCACAACAACCACCTCTTGTGAAAGAAAAACATTTTTCTGTCCGAAAACTATTCTGTAAATTTGTGATAATTCACAAATAGTTTGGTTCTACTGAAACTGCAATAAACTATTTGTCTGAAAAATTTTGCCCAGCTCTAATCCTTTACATAGGGAACAGCAAAACTACAACAAAATGTGAAACACACCATACAGCAAACATACCATATCCAGTCAAAATTACATAGGAAATATACGTAAGCAGAATGTAATAACCCAACAACAATTCAGTGACAAAATCAGGGCATTTCATTATCATATAGCTCCATTAAAGCATTCAAGTAATTCAATAATATTCTCCTTTAAAAAGAATTGAAGAGCATATATGAAAACAAAAACGTAATAAAAATGCATACCTTTTTCACCTTGTTCACCTTTTAATCCTGGAAAACCTGGAGGACCAATGTCTCCTTTTTCACCATAAGTTTCCAGTGTACTTATTACCTGAATCACAGAACAAATACCAAGATATTAGGAAATACACATGGGCAGCAGGTATAAGGCATAGGGAGACTAAGCCTCCTCAAATAGGGCAAGAAATGCAAGATGCAGCTCCCTTTGCACTGCCACCACTGGAAGCTCCCAAGAAGTGGGGGGGCCACTGGCACCCAGACTGTGGTCATGCCTGCACTCCGCCCCAAGGCCCTGCTCCCTCTCGGCCTCTTCCACCGTGCCCCCACCTGCGCTGCGTCTCTGCCCCCTGAGGCCCCCCTGCCCACCACTCGCTCCTCTCTGCCCCCTCCCCTCTGTCGCTCACCCTTAAGGCAGAAGGGGAAGGAAAGGAATGAGTGGTGGGTGGGTGGGTAGCCTCAGGGGAGAGGGTGGAGAGAAGAGGGTAGAGGGGGGCCTCAGGGGAGGGGGTGGAGTGGGAGCGGAGCCTCAGGTCAGAGCAGAGGTGGAGCATGGGCAGGGCCTCACGGGGAGGAGGCTGAGTGAGGGCAGAGCCTTGGTCCAGGCACTGGTGCCCCCCCCCACTTCTAGGGAGCTTCCAGTGCTCATGCCCAGCCTCTCCAAATGCAAGAGTCATGCACCGCCTATGGAAATACATAACTGAAGAGCTCAGATGTGTTGGAGCTTTCTAGCCTCTCTGACCTTGGGCCTGCCAGGGGCCAGTTTGTTCTGTGGTATAACTTGTAACTGCCTCAGGACTGCTGTAAATTGCATTGACACCTGAGGAATCACCAGGACGCTCTAGCTATGCCTCCTGCCGACTCTGAGCATGTCCTATACAGCAGCGTTGGTATGAGGGCTCACAAGCCTCAAATCCAGGTCCATAGAGTTCCCCAGGCAGCACTCAGGCCACAACTGCCACCCAGCAGCTCACCTGTGTAACTAGGGAAGGGTCCAGTGACAGGTGAGCTCGCAGAAGCTCCCCCCCATCCCCCACAAGCTCCTGATTGGGGAAGACATCCAGCCCCAGGACTGGATGAGGAGTGCTATATAAACCAGGAAGTTGTCTGAGCAATTAGAGGAATCCTTGGCTGGCTGCTACTACAGACCCTCCTGCTTACCTGACTTCTGAACTCTGCATTCTTGCCTGCTCCTGGTTCCTTCTTCTCCACCTACTCCTGGTTCCTGTCCTCCTATCCTGCCCTACTCCAGGCCTCTGCTCTGCCTTACCCCTGATACTGTCTCTGGCTCTGACTGCTGGCCTGGCATCTGACTCTGCCTCCATCTTTGACCTTTGGCTTGGTACCTGATGCTTTCTTCGGTTTTGACCCTCATCTCTGACCACTAGACCTGACTGCCTACGCCCTGGTTGCTCAGACTTTTCCAAGTGGGCCCAACAAAGGATGGACCCAGTGTAGCTCCCTGTACCAGAAGGGGGATCTGTAATGCACAAGTGAGTGATCCAGCTCCTGGCAGATAACTGAACCATCCAGGTGCAGAACATGCAGCTGGCCACTGAGAATCAGGCACTGCAAGATCAAGTCCATCAACTCCATGCAGAAAATGCTATACTCCAGGCTCATCTGGCTGCGCTGTTCCCCAACCAGGGATGCACTGCCCGTCTGCCCAAGCGTTTTGATGAGAGCTGCTCCAAATTCCAAGGTTTCATGACTCAGTGCCGCCTCTTGTTCTCAACCATAGGTGCACATTTCTGACCATGCCAAAGTAGGCCTGGTAGACAGCCTGCTGACAGGGGAAGTGTTGGACTGGGTCTTTCCCCTGTTGGAAATCAACAGTCTGGTTTTGTCTAACTGGGATGCCTTCCAACAGATAATGTCAAGCATCTTTGATTACCCTATCTGCACCTGCTCTACTGAGGCTGCCCTGCAAAAACTCCCACAGGGATTGGACCCAGCCATTGCCTATGTAGCTTACTTCCACCATCTCGTATCAGACACAGAATGGAAAGAGGCGACCCAGTTATATCAGTTTTAATAGGGCCTGTGGGACGAGGTTAAGGACAAACTGGCCTGAGTCAAGACCCCAGTGGGTCTGGACGCCTTCATAGAGCTCGTCATCTGTATTGACAATCATCTACATGAACAATGGGAAGAAAGAAGAGGGGCACCATGACCGTGCTCCCTGCTATTGGATTCCCCCTGACCTGTTGAACTAATGCAGATAGACCTAACTCACCAGCAACTCACCCCGAAGAGAGAAAGCACTGGCGATGCCTTAAACTTGTGTTACTACTGTGGGGTGCCAGGCCGTGAGTTCTCCAATTACCCTACAGGGACCCAGTCCAAAGGAATCTGGGAAATGAGCCCAGTGAAGGGGGCTGGCCTGGATCCTGGCAGAGTATCCCCTTGAAATCCCAACTGAGGTCCTGACAGGGACATGCACTGGCTCCTGTCGACCAGCAGCACACCTACAAGTCACAGCTAAATTGCGAATCTCAGGACATTCCCTAGGCCCTCATTGACCTGGGTGTGGGAGATAACTTCCTTGATGAAGAGGCAGCCTGGGCACTAAAGATTCTCCTGCAGCCCAAGCCTGTTCCGGACCTAGTAGAAACGATTGAAGGGTCCCTCTTATCAGCCAGGCCAGTGGTCACCAAAACTATTCAGCTCAAAGTTATCATCCAGGGGTAAGGAAGACCCTACAGTTCAGTGCCATCCATTCCCTGCACTTCCCTCTGATCCTGGGTGTTTTGTGGCTGCCCTTCCACAATCCCCTTATCCACTGATGCGGACTAAGAATATGAAGAACTTCCCAATTCTGCCAGCAGCACTGCTTGACCGCAGGAATTGGCCAGCAGGCAGTAGCTCCCCAACAGTTCCATGCCAGGGTATGGGGCCCAGCAGAGCAGCCTGCCGATTGTGGTCCTCAACTTCCATCCAAATACACTGACTACAAAGATGTATTTGGAAAAAAGATGCCGACGCCCTGCCCCCACACAGAGACTATGACTGCCCAATTGAGCTACAACCAGGGGCAAACATTCCGTTTGGGCGTATATATGCCATACCAGAGCCTGAACCAACAGTGCTGTGCACCTACCTTCAGGAAAACCTAGACAAGGGCTTTATTCATAAATCCACGTTGTCTTCTGGAGCACCAGTCCTCTTTGTTTAAAAAGAAGGATGAGAGCTTCCGACCGTGTGTTGAATATTGGGCCTAAATCAGGTCACCATTAGAAACTGGTACATCTTGCCACTAATCCCCAAACTAATGGACTATGTGAGTACTGGCTAGGTGTACACAAAGCTATACCTCCAGAGGGCCTACAACCTAGTACATGTTAGAGCTGGGGATGAACTGAAGACCACATTTTGAATGAGTTATGGTCACTTTGAGTATCTTGTGATGTCCTTTGGGTCAACAAATGCACCTGTGATGTTCCAGCATTTTAACAACAATGTACTCCAAGACATTCTTGACCAATACATGGCAGCATATCTGGATACTTATTTTCTCAGATAATGTCGAACAGTTCATGTGTGTCCATGCATGTATTCCATCCTGGAGAGGCTACGCAAACATGGCCTCTATGTCAAACTAGGAGAATGTGTTTTCTATCAGTCTTCCATAGGATGAACCCTAGGAATTCTATCTCCAGCTGTTATCATAATTGACCCATGCAAGGTAAAGGAAGTCCCTGAGTGGGCTGTGGCACAGAAGGTCTGCGACTTGGGGTTTGCAAACTTCTATCTGTGGTTCATCCTGAAGTTCTCGGAGCAGATCACCCCTCTCACTGTCCTACTCCACCAAAAAAAAATAGGTTCCTCTGGTCTCCCGAGGCCTAGTAGGCCTTTAAACAATTAAAACTAACATTTACCACACTTTCCAAATTGGTTCATCCCAATACCACACAAGCCTTCATCCTTGAGGAAGATGCTTCCAACTTAGCAATCAAAGCAGTGCTGTCCCAAAGGCATGGCCTTCAACAACTCCTACATCCGTGTGCCTTCTTTTCCAGAAAACTCACACCCATGGAGCAAAACTATGACATGTGAGACCAAGAATTCCTGACGATTAAAACCACTTTTGAAGAGTGGCACCACTATCTAAAAGGGGCCTGGTATCCTTGACTATCTGCATAGGGCCAAGGCCCTTAACCAACGACAACTTTGGTGGGCCTTATTCTTTGTGCTCTTTAATTTCATAATTTCCTATCACCCAAGAACCAAAAACAGCAAGGCTGATGCTTTTCCTGGAAGGGCAAGTATTACACTGACTTTATGGACCCTAACCTGAAACCCTCCTGCATCCTCAAGCCTCATAACTTTCTTGGTGCAGCTCCCCAAGACCTGCTCACCCTGATAAGATCAGCCTCAACCATGGGATCTCTGGAGTCGAGCAGGAAGCCATAAATAAGGAAACCCATGCGGTTCAAGATGGGTTAATTGATGTAAAAGGTCATATCTATGTTCTCCTCGGGCCTCTGAGGACTACCTCCCTACAGGTATGCCATGACTCTCCCCTGGCAGGAAATTTTTGTCACTTTAAAACTCAGTACATCATTTCCTCTGTCTTCTGGCTTTGCATATGAGACACAGTGCTGGCCTACCTGGCCTCATTCAATGTATGTGTCTGCTTCAAGTTGGCCCATCAATAAAACCCTGGGACTCCTGCAACCCCTCAAGATTCTACCTGGCCCCTGGACTATCACTGCATTAAAATTTGTAGTAGAACTACCCAAGTCCAATCAGTTCAAGACCATCCTGAACGTCATGAACAACTTCACAGAGATGGAACACTTCATCCCTGGCACTGCCAACTCTCCTCCCAGGAAACCGCCTGGCTCTGGGTAGACCAAGTTGTCCACCTCCATGGCCTCCCAGAGAGCATTGTCTCTGACCAAGGAACATAATTTGTCTCCCACTCCTGGCAAGAAGCTCTCTTTCTGGATTTTGGGCATCTGCTCCTGACTCCCCTCTGCCTATCACCCTCAGACTAAGGGTCAAGCTGAAAGAACCAACCAGATCCTGGAGCAGTATCTTCGGTGTGATATCAATTTCCACCAACTTGTCCTTGCTGCTGCCTCAGACAGAGTTTGTATACAATAACACAGAATATGTGTCTATAGGGCAAAGCCCCCTTTTTTCGAATTATGGGTTCCATTCCCAGTTCTATCCAAAGCCACCCACAACTTCCCACAATCCAGTAGCCCTGGATTGAATACATCAGCTACACCAAACCCAAACTGAGCAAAAAGTTCACCTGGAGGGTGCCCAAAAGAGCTACAAACAATACCACCAATGACAGGAGGGGCCTGCCCTGTCAATAAGACACAAAAAACATATGAACAGGCTATCTCATAAATTAGACTACCAGATCCTTGGCCCCTACTGAATTTGCTGGCAAATTAATCCTGTTGCCTTTGAACTCGGCTTGTCCTGTTCTCTCCGAATGTACCCCATTTTCCACATATTACTCCTGAAGCGCCACCTTCCAGACCCATTCCCTCACCATTTTGAACTCCAATCTACCCACCTGCCAGTCAGTATGTGTTCAATACCACAATGAGTACATCTTCCAAGAAATCTTTGATACCAAAATTAGGCAGGGGAAACACTGGTATTTTGTGGATTGGGAAGGCTATGGTTCTGAAGAGCGCTCCTGGGAAATAACAGGAAACATACATGCTCCTAACCTGGTAAATGCTTTCCAGCAGAACCATTCTGAAAAACCTGGCCACAACCACCCAGAGGGCACACTAGGGGTGAGAGTGATGTGGGGGAATCACAGGCCTTGAACCTGGGTTCTCAGGCAGTGCACAGGCCACAACTGCCACCCCGCAACTCAGCTAAGTAACTAGGGGAGGTCTAGTGAAGGATGAGCTTGCAGAGGGCCCCGCCCCCAAAGCTCTCAATTTTGGGGACCATCCAGCCCCTCAGTTGGCTGAGGAGTGCTATATTAACCAGGAAGTAACAACAGGAAATTGTCTGAGAAATTAGAGGAATCCTTGGCTGGCTACTACTATGGACCCCTCCTGCTTACCTGACTCCCAAGTCCTGCATTCCTGCCTGCTCCCGGTTCCTGCTTCACCACCTGCTCCTGGTTCCTGTCTTCCTATCCCAGACTCCCGTCTACCCACAGTTCCTGCTGTCCTACCCTACACCAGGCCACTCTTCCTCTGCCTTACCCCAGATGGATGGTGTCTCTGGTTCTGCCCCCTGGCTTGGTATCTGATGTCATCTTCAGTTTTGAGCCACAGCTCCAACCACTAGGTCTGACTCCTGCTCCAATCACTAGGCATGACTGCCCACACCTTGGTCACTGAAACTGGGCCGTTTTAATGTCCCTCTGCTGCGAGAATTGTGCAAAGCAGCCTGAGGGCTTATCTACACAGGATGTTAATGTACAGCAGCCCAATGTGTAAATCTACAGCTCCCTGGGCTGCCATGTACTTACTCACCATGGGGACCCTGCACTAATAGTTCAGTAGCACATTTTGATGTATTCCTGTTTCAAACAGTAATATTTCAATGCGCACTATAGAACTTTTAGTGCACAGCAGCAGGGTCCATAGAGGACATTACTGCACAGCAAGCTAGTGCACTGTAGATTTACACCCTGATTTGCAGCACACTAACTGTGTAGCCAAGCCTTTAGTGTAGGCCAGGATCTAGTTGATAATACTTACACTACATTTTATTTTAATATAGTTTGTTCTGGTGATTTCTGTAGACATAGAATTGTACTTATAGTACAGTACCCTAAGTCTACATAGAAATATTCAGGAATAATGTACAATTGGTTGAAAAAAGTTATCCATTCCTTTTATCCCAAATATAGGGAAGACAGTTCATAGAATTTGGGACACATATGTGCCTGGCTAACTGCAATCTATTTCTAAAAGTAGTGTGAAAAAAAAACCCTGTACTACACTGTACAGTCAATAAACCATGCTCTGATGTCCTTATTTGCACCATTGTTAGTAATTATTTGTACTGCTTTATAATAATAGCAAGGCAGCAGTAATATTTTTAACCCATAAGCCAAAAGATTTAAAACTCAAAGGATACAAATTGCCACAATATAGAAGTTTCCCTTTACAGATTTCAAATATACTTGGACAACATAGGGCTTCCAAGTTTTGCTCCCACTGAAAATCAATGGCAATATTGCCACTGATTTCAGTTGAATCAGAACCTATGCGTAGTCTTTTAAAAAAAAGTCCTGAGTGCTTTGACATCCACACTGATTTGGTATTTTGTGTCTGTTTTGTATAAGCAAAATTTAATTTACTTACTCTTCCTGGAAGTCCTGGAAGACCTTGTGTGCCCTTGTCTCCCTGAACAGAAAAACAATTTACATTTTTAAATTCAAGTACCACACAATGAAAACTGATCTATCAATGGCATTCCATTAGCTTTCTAGTCTTACACATGGAGACTTTTATCTTCTAACAATTTACTAACTGAACAAGATCAATATAGAATCCACTTTACAAGTGCAAATTTGGGCCGGATTCATGTACATGGACCCCTTCTTCTGCACAAACTCACAAAATACAAAGAAGTATGCAGCCAATTAATTGGGGCAGTATGTTCAGTATTTTTCTTAATGAGGAGACATGCACTGTTTTATACTAAGTTACATTTATTATTATAGGCAGGTCTGGTAGCACTACCTATTATTAAGGTGCTGACACTTCCCATTATAAGACCCTGTTTTCCATTGCGTATAACTTTGCCAAACTGTAGCTGTTTGGGATGAAATTTTCCAAGGTAGGTGTCTGCTTCAGGCTGAATTTTTGGGGAAAATTTCAACCAAAATGAGAATTATGCTAGGGAACCATATATAATTTTGCCCATGGTAAAAAATTCGGACAACTTTTTACCTGGAGAGCTCTAGTTCCCCCATACTTCAGAGCAGGGTCTTGAAAATTGTCAGGGGGTGGCATTTATGTCATGGCTGTACTTTTTGCTATCCCTGTTAAAATCTGCCCAAATCTGGCCAAGTTATAAGACTTTGAAAAAAAATCAGTTCACACGCGCTTAGGGGAGACTTCTTAGATTTTAGGAGCTTAAATCTCCAAAGATTCCATCCTCATTGAGCGTGATTGAGCCTCTCACAGCTCCTAGTGCTAATCAAGCTGTGCATCCCTACAAGCAAATTGAGCATGATCTTTCCAGACCAGGGGTACAAACACAAAGCTATACTTTCTCTGTAATGGCTGTTTCCAGTTACTCTAGGCCACGGTACAGTTGGGCACTGGATCTGAGAGCAGGGAGTCTGTCTCTCTTGTGCTCTCAGTGCCCTTCATGCTGGCTCCCAGACAACGGGAAGGAGAAAGTATGATTTGAATGCAGAGGATACAAAAGCCAGACTGGGAAGAGAGAAAAGAGTAGATTGGGACGAAGAGTCTGGGACTGGAGTGGGGGGCAGAGAGAAGAGAGACACTGTGACTGGGTGGGCAAAGGCAATGGGACTCAAAGCTGGAGGTGGGGTGGGGCTGGTGTGGGAAAGAGGGAGACCATTTGATCGTGTAACTAATGACTACCATATTTCATATCCACAAGGAGACTGAAATAAGATTGCACAGGCAACTTTAATTCTAGCATTTCCTAACTTTTGAATGATTGACTTTGCAATCTTAATAATGTTTTTTAACATAGCTTTTTCCTGTGTGTAATATGTAACTGGTTACTGTAAGCTATGAATGCAAGATATTAGCTATTAATTTTGCCCCAAAGAGATAACATTTAATTACTTACCTTAGGACCAGGGTCACCTGGTAGTCCTGGAACTCCAAACCCACCATCCTCACCCTATGTGTATATTGGGGTGGGAGAGGAGAGAAAAAACAAATCAGACACAATAAATACAGTTGCACCTTATTAGTGATAGTGTCTCAGTTTAAATCCTCAAACTGATCACTTTTTCAACACAAAAGAGAATTTATCTAAATAATTCTGAAATCTGCTGGAATCACTCCACCGTTTTCATTTTTCTTATTTTTGCATACAATGGAATCAAACATTTAATATAGAAGACTTTTTTTCTTTTAAAAAGCTAAAGAGTGATATTAAAAATGCAGTGAAACATACAGTGTTTCCTTTTGGTCCTTGCTCGCCATCTTTTCCAGGTTTTCCCTGTAAAGCACAAAATTCCACATTATTGAATCATGAACATCAAATTTATATCATTTCTGCACACATTGCCTGAAACATTAAAACTAAGAATCCAGCAATATAATGAGTTCATGAATCCTCTTTTCACCGCTAACAGTGCACGATGTATGACAATGGGCAAAAATATGACCACTGAGGATGTACATTTCCCAGCATGCTGATAATTTAGAGCAGTAGTTCTCAAACTTTTTATATTGGGAACTCATTTCACACAGCAAGCCTCTGAGTGTGATCCCCACCCCTTATAAATTAAAATTGGGGGTAATTTAATTTTAATGTAATTTTAATTTAACAGGGGCTCAGGTTGTCAGTCCTGCCAGACACAGGTTGACAGCTCACACCCCCAGGTAATAACCTCGCAACACCTTGAGGGATCATGACCCTCAGTTTGAGAACCCCTGGTCTAGAGTCAAACGCAGAGCTGCAGATCTCCCCATGTTGCTCAGATGGTACTTTAGTAGACAATTAACATTGTTCTTATTTTATTTATTATATAATCAAATTTTATCTCCTATATTCCTTTTGTTTGTTTCTTTCTTTTAGGAATGACTGTGCATAAATACCATGAATGACAGGTGTTTCTGAAATAATGGTGATTAGGCAAATTAGCTGCCATATATATGTTTCTTTTGCTCTCCGTTTTACTTTCTGATCTCTGGGGGTGATTTTTCAAATCAGTAAAAAAAATAGCTAAAAGCCTTATCAACCTGCTCAAACTAAGCATGCACATTTCTTTTCTTTTAGGATTTGTACATACGGTATTTGTTTTTTACTCTAGGTATTTTTATTCCCCTCCCCCCCATTGGTCTCTTAGTGGATGTTTTGTTATTTTATCAAATTTAGCTATTAAAACTATTGTTTTAAAAGAGGTGTGAGGCAGATTCTAAACTCACTGATGTGTGGAATGCATTTCGATGTCACTGGAAGTTCCATGATTAGAACAAGTAAGAAATACGGAATGCCCTGAACAATGATTTTGATGTTTGCACATTTTGCTAAATTAGCCACACAAGGCTATTCAGAATACTGTACCTCTATTTCTTCCATTTACTGCCAGAGAGGATTTCACATCTCATATTTTGTATGTGTTTGTTAATATGGGTCTCAAAAAAAGCATGATTTTTTTTGTGTGTGGTTTAATTCCTCTATTTGTAACACTTTGAAAGTAAATGCAAATCTATTGTCAGCAATATAAGGATTAGTTCTTAGTTAACGCTAGACTATCAACGGCATCAGTAACTGATTTATAATATTTTATTTTTTACATCAGGACTGTAGTGTTTTATTTGTCAATTGTGCCTTTCATTCTAGGGTTAGATAATATTTATATGTGTATGTGCAATAGAGTACAAATGATTTATGAAATGGTTATAACTAGTAAACAAATCACTACAAACAATTACCACATTTTAGGAGTAATTTTTTTATAAATTGTTTACTGCCTATATATTTAAAAACACTTAGGCTATCTTAAATTGTATTAAGAAAATAGATTGGCACAGAATATATAAAGAGACATTGGACTAATACAGGGATCAGCAACCGGGAACTGCGGCCAATGGGAGCTGCGGGAGTGGCACCTGTGGGTAGAGACAGTGCGCAGAGCTGCCTGGCCACACCTCCACCTAGGAGCAGCAGGGACATGTCGCCGCTTGTGGGGAGCCATCTGAGGTGAATGCCGCCTGGATCCAGCACCCCAAAACCCCTCCTGTGCCCCAACCCCATGCCCCGAGCCCTCTCAATGAAGCTCAGTTTTTATTGATAAAATACTGTATACTTACTCGTGGGCCAGATTTCCCAGGTTCACCTTTTTCCCCTTTGAAACATGAGCCTGGATCTCCCTTAAGAACACAAACCAGATTAATCATACTGTATTTTTTGTTGTACATTTTATTTTACTTATAAGCCATTAAGACACACAAAGTCCTTTAAGGCATGGTCACCATAGGGTTTGGTAAAATCTTTTAAGCAAACAAAATGATTACATAATACTTACTTTAATCCCTATATCACCTTTTTCACCTTTTTCACCCTAATGAAATTAGAAAACAATGAAAATCAATATATGGAAAAATTATCCATAATCCACTTCTGCTATAAATCATTTATTTCCTCTTTGTCAGATACAGTACCTTGTTTCCAAAGTCTTCTAGAGACACGTGACTTATTTATACAGGTATTATCATATTCACAGATTATCCCTGTACAAATTCTTCAGATACTTACAGGAAGAGCATTAAACTTTATTTAGGACAGTTAAAACATGGACCAAGTTTGCATAATTGGCATTAGATTGCTTATAACACTGGTTTCTCGGTCTTTCTTTAGTAACCTTTTCCCCACAGTCTTTAAACAAAGAAACTAGGAGTCCAATATTGTAAGGACTAAGTAATATTTTCTCACCGTCGTTCCATTTATGAGAATGTACTCTTTCTTGCTGTCATATGAGGCAGGTCCTGGTGTGCCCAGCTCTCCTTGTTCACCCTATTGACACAAAATTCAGGATTATTAATGTAATTAGAAAGAATATTTATACTGAGAACATTCATAAATATGTAAGTTTCTGAAGAATTTGTACAGGGATAATCTGTTGCATTCGAAAGCATTTCAAACAGAGAGGCTTACCTTATCACCTTTTGGTCCTTGAAAACTCAAGCCCATCTGACCCTGATGAAAAAATTATACATGTATTAATGCATTAGCCAACTTTCCTTTTATAAATATATATGTGTAAGAATTTTATAAATGTGGTAGATTTGGCCCCAAATCTAACCTCCTGTTTATTCAAATATGGAAAGTCCTCGAGGCCCATATATTTTTCTCCTGACTTAAAAGTTAATTAGCCATAAGCCTGAATTGTTGTTAATATTTTATTATTAATTTCTGGTCATGCCTGGAATGTGCTCGACATTTTCGAAACGGCATACAAAGGCATAGGTCCAGCCATGAGGAGATAATCACATTATTTTTGTGAAAAACAAACAGAGATGGAGGATGAGGAGCAGGGAAATATACAATTAAGGGGGCTATAAGATTATAACATAGCTTTAATGACAACTAAAATATAGCTATATGTGTGCAGGCAAATATTTAAATGGACAAATTTCTCACTCTTTCTGACAAAAACTCTCTTTTTCCCACCTACCTCTCTTTCGAGACAGATATATAGAAGCAGAAACAATCCCAAATGACCTTATAAACATGTCATTATATTTATCTTATTTTTCCTGTCTTTAGCTCAACCATGTGTTCACTTTGACAAGTCGGGCAATGGTAGGACTGCAGAAGGCATGGGAGATGTGGCTTCCAAATAAATATTTGGCTATGATCAATGGGACCACTGTACATCCCACAGGATCTCTGCCCTAATGTTGGCTTTCCCTTTACCTGTGCACTCAGTGCAGTCCCACAAACCCTGTGAATACCTGAAACAGTCCTATTTAGGGCATGATAGTCCCAAGTTCTTTGCACTCAGAACTGTACAGTTGCTGGGGCTGAAAAAATATGCAACTGTTGGTTTGGTTTTTGTGTGTGTGCACTTCCTGCCTCTGGATGCCAGAGATCACTGCAGCTACTACAACTGGGTGGCCAGAAGCAGTCTTTCCTCTGGTCCTGACTCCTGCAGAGAGTCAGCCCCCAGCAGCAGTTTCAACTTAGTTCTGCCTTCGGAGAGGTGGCATCAAATGGAGACAACAAATGGGGAGAGGAGTAAGCCCCATGAGAGAGATGGAGGAACATGGAATTCCACTATGTTGGACAAAGCAAGACACATTAAAGGTGGCAGAGAGGAAATGTAAAGGGGGACACCACAGATCGGGGCTGGAAGATGGAGGGAAATTTGGAAGGAGAGGAGAATAGTCCCCAGTGGAATGCCAGAGGAGGTAGCTGGCCACTCCACTCCCCCACCACATACTACTCAATGCCACCCTGCCACCATCATCAAGAGAATGGGGGCAATCCAGAGCCTGTTGAGGGCAGGAGTGGCTATGGGCTGGTAAGGGATCAGCCAGAGGTTTGTTTAGAATGTTCATGCACACTAGTGGGGTGGGAGGTGGAGATCTCCCTTCAGTTGACTTATACCAACAAAGACTCTGATTCTTCCAGATGCAACATCAAAATGCAATATATGGAACAAAGGCAGATGGCAAATGATGACTAATGCCCATTATGCCAAGATGTACTATTTTTATTTTTATATTTACCTTGCAGTCTACTCCTCCTCTGCACACTCCCTATCATTTTCTGTCATAACGCATATTGCAAGGTCTTTAGGGAAAGCATTGTCTTTTTAATAAGTGTGTGTATAGGGCATAGCACAATGAGGTCCTGATCCTTACGATCACTCCCTCTCCCCCCCACCCTCCCCGCCCTCCCTTTCCCCACATACATGAATGAAATTCTCATGAACATTTTAGTGGCATTTCAATGACAAATTTTGACTGACAAATTTTGAAATTTTCAACCAGTTCTGAATAAATAATACAAATAATAGAATATAGCACTTAGTGGTGTTTTGGTCTGGTAGGAGAGCATATCTTAAAAAATAGCCTACAAAACCATACCTTTTTTGACGCCCTGGTAATTAAGATACAATATTTTATATAAAGACACAAGACTGCACAGAACATTTGAAGACTAGCATGTGAAAAAAATAACTCAAATATTTGCAGCTACAGTACTGTCTATGAAAATCCATACCTTCTCACCCGGATCACCCCGTGGGCCTGGGGGACCCTATAAGACAGGACATTTTATTAGACTGCATGCTAAACATTACATGTAATGTTTTCTGCTTACCACAGACATTAAAAATGCACCGTTCTACTGGTGTCTTCATTTTAATGGAGAAAGATCAATATAATGTTTTTAGTACTTTCTAACTTCCAGAATTTGTCTAAGATCTTACAATAGAGGTGCGATATTGCAGTTAAGAAGTGCTGGAGCTGGTCACTACATGGACAAGAGACACTCATAGCAAACTGCAGGTGCTGCAGGGAGTGGTGCTGGTGATTCAATAGGTAGCACTCTTCCCTTTGATTCATGCTTGAACCAGTTCCCCAACCTTAGCACATCTGTAACAAGGTGCCATTTTTCAGATGAGATGTATTTTACACTGAGTCATATCTTGCTCCCTTTTTACACAGCAGTTTTGCAGTGCAGATTCCACAGCAGTGGATTTATAACAGATTGCCCTGAATGTAGCTCACTATGATGGGAAACATAAATAGTGCTGAAAGAACAGGAATACTTGTGGCACCTTAGAGACTAACAAATTTATTAGAGCATAAGCTTTCGTGGACTACAGCCCACTTCTTCGGATGCATATAGAGTGGAATAAATATTGAGGATATATATATATATTGGCCTCTCAGAGTTGGTAAGACAACTCCCACCTGTTTATGCTCTCTGTATGTCTGTATATACATCTCCTCAATATTTATTCCACTCTATATGCATCCGAAGAAGTGGGCTGTAGTCCACGAAAGCTTATGCTCTAATAAATTTGTTAGTCTCTAAGGTGCCACAAGTATTCCTGTTCTTTCTGCGGATACAGACTAATACGGCTGCTACTCTGAAACCTGTCATAAATAGTGCTGATTTTTAAAAATAGGATTAACTGGTCCCTGCTTGCTGGTATCTGTGGTATTCTAAAGGCCATAGAGGCAGAGAACATATTCTGACATCTACTACACCTGTCAACGTATCAAGTAGTTCAGGTGCCTTGAACATTTGGAATTTACCACAATAGGAGACCTTCTACTTGGGAAGAGATAGCCTTTCCTTTGTAGCTGTTCCTAATGGTACCTCTAGGACAATCTCAGAAACTATTTTGATTTAGATTAGGTTGTGGGACCAGCAACACATTTTTCATGGATTCAAGAGGGGAAAGTGTAAAAGCCTATTACAAAACTGTAGAATAGGGGCCAGATTCTAACAAAAACTGAAGTAAATTAGAGTTATTTGCATCCTGCAGAAGCAATCCCCTGGAGTCCAAGGTCACACAGAAGATGTGTGGTATAGTAGGGACTGAACCTGAGTTGCCCAAATAGTAGGTTAGTGTCCTAACTACTGTACCATTCATCCCCAATACATTAATCATTTAGAACTTTTTTAATAAAGCAGCATTACTTAAATCATCATAAAATGACACTTACTGGAACTCCTGAAATCCCTGGTGGCCCGATGGGGCCTTGGAGCCCTTGCAATCCTTGCATACCCTGTATATAAAAAGGAGCCATTAAAAAGAGATACCGATTGGGCAATTTAATGATGCATATATATATTATCTGGCTATACTGAAAGGACGGGGGACACCTGATATGATTCTAATCAGGCTGCAACTTTATTATTGGATGTCTGGGATCACCTGGCAGATAAAAGTGTACAGTGCAGGTAACCCCATGTTCATTCAGTATCTACCCAGGGGGCTTCTGCCAGCCCCCCCCCTTTTTCATCCTGGTCCCCAAGCCAACTCATTTCTGGGACCTTATCATCCCCCCACTTGAACGAGGGTTAAGGTGGGTTAGAAGAAAGGGGCCTGGCTCCCTGCCATACCAGACATAGGAGCTCTGAAACCCCCTGTTCCACACCTTTAACCAACACCTAATTTTTAAGTCCTTTACCAAGCCATATTATCTAGTCATTGTATCCCTTCCCTGTGGAGTACCTTCCCTGGACATCCACCCCACACTTACACAAAGAGTCGCAACACATAGCTTAACTCCCTTCACACCTCACCTCAACAAAGCTCTCCCTGAACCCGCTGTGGGGAAGGCAAAAAAAAAAATCTCACTCCACGTAGTCCAATCTGGTGGTGAGAGACAAATTCCTCCCAGCCTCCCTGAAAAGGAGCAGCTCGTGCAATGCCCACAGCAGGGCCTATCCAAACCTGGCATTTTGCCACCTTTCCCCCCCCGGCCCCCCCCCGGGAAAAGGGGTTCTACTGTCAGGGCTTGCCCCCTTTTAAACTCCTCAGTCAGGGCATCATGCTGACCTAACTCCCCTTTTGCAGCAGCTTCAGAGTCTTTCTCTTCCTCCTCTCTCCCCATAAAGCACTGTTCTCTCTCCTTCGGCAAGCCGGACAACGCCCCACCCCGATTTAAAGGTGCGGTGGGGGTTTTAGTTAAGACTTACTGGTAGCCCAGGGAGGCCAGGATAACCTTTTTCACCTTTTAGCACATTTGATGGTAAAAACCCAATCACTTCACCTGGGTCTCCCTATCATAGGGGAAGAAAAAAAAATAAAGTTGAATTATATATATATGCACACAAATAAAAACATTCATTCCAAAACATTGACATTAAGACTGGAGAAAAGCACTAACATAACATCTACACAGTCTTTTGGAATCATTTGGGAAGTGTACAAAAATGGTCGGCATTTTACTTGTTTGAATTGATTTAAAGATACCACAAGGAAGCTGTTGTCGTTTTTAACAGCCCTTCAGTGTCAGGTATCCTTGAAATATTCAGTAAAGATTCCAGTACCCATCTTAACTTTTCCCCTTACTTTCCACTTATTGGTGGGAAAATCCCCCTAGTTGCCCATCAGATACTATCTGAGTATCTGGCCTGTGTGCCGGAAACATTTGGAGGTTTTACAGGCAAGGAAGCCTCCTTCCTAGGCTGTCAAGTATCCGGGGGTAGCCGTGTTAGTCTGTATCTACAAAAACAACAAGGAGTCTGGTGGCACCTTAAAGACTAACAGATTTATTTGGGCATAAGCTTTCGTGAGTAAAAACCTCACTTCTTCACTTGAAGTGAGGTTTT